TTGCCATTGAATAAAGAAGAAAGTTTTAACCATCTGACCAGTACTGCAGAATTACTAAGATTTAAATCAAAATCCATATAAATTGATAGTAGTAAAAGGTGTCCAAGCCATGCTTCTAAGCAAGTAGCCGCTGGGCCTTTAAAATTAAGACAGCACAATGCAAGATGTGTTTATGGCTAAGAAGAAGGATCTTCATATGATGTTTATTGACCTTGACAAGGCGTATGATAAGGTACCAAGGGAGCCTATGGAGGTGTCTTGAGTCAAGTGTTTGTCCTTAGTCCTTTCTTGTTCGCCCTCGTGATGGATGTCCTGACGAGAGGAGGTCAAGGAGAGGTCCCATGGTGCATCTTTTTTTAGGATGATATTGTGCTTGTCGACGACACCAACGTGGGACTTAATGATAAGTTGGAACTTTGGTGTCTTTCCCTTGATTCCAAGGGACTGAGACTCAGTAGGACAAAGACTGATTATATAGAATGTCATTTCAATGGTCGGGAGACGGAACCAGGGGTAGAAGTTAGGATTGATTCTCACCTAGTGCCCAAGCTAGACAAGTTTCAGCATCTGAGCTCGGTCATTCAGCCAAATGGGGAGTTGGACGGGAATGTTGTGCATCGTGTTGGAGTAGCTTGGGCTAAGTAGAGGTTGGCTTCAAAGGTGTTGTACGATAAGAAGTTCTTGGCTAGAATGAGAGATAAGTTTTAATGGTCCGTAGTCAGACCAATTATGTGTATGGAGCAGAGTGTTTGGCGGTTAAAAAACCCACTTTCGTCAACTACATGTTACAGAGATGCGTATGTTATGGTGGATGAGTGTGCAGACAAGGTTGTATAGGACTCTGATCGAGATTAACCAAAGACAGGTAGGCATGGCCCCTATTAAAGATAAGTTGCGGGTTATCTTTAGTGCGTTCTCATCTAAGGTTGTATCTGTGCTCTATTATCTCCTATGATCTTTTGTGTGTTTTATTATCTTATGTTCTATTATCTCCTGGGATCCTTTTATTTATGCAGCTTGAGTCGGGGTCTCTTAGAAAGAGCCCTTCTGTTTTCGAGTAGGGGAAAGGTTTGTGTACGCACACCCTCTCAAACCCTACTCTCGTGGGATCCAACTAGGTTGTTGATTCATAACAATCAACACGCACGTGCTATGCAACTTGAACAAAAATTTGGTACGACAATCAAAGGCTCCATGTCAATTTCCTTCTATTGCCAAACACTCAAGAATGTGGCAGATTGATTGGATGATGTTAATGTGCTCGTTTCAGTTCAGATCCTCAACTTGTGGTGCAATTGCTTGGTGGCCTATCAGACAATCTCCTGCCCTTCTGGTCCCTGACCCAGCAGCTCACCCAACCCATACCCAGCCCAATTCTATTACACTCACGCAACTCCACCCAATTCCAATCCATTTGACCAGTTTGGTTACCCGACACCCTGCCCCAACCAGCTCACCTATCCCACACCCTATCCGCAACCCACCCCCTCCCGCCCTTACCTGCACCCAACCCCCACCAGCCACTTTAACACCATGTCTCTTCATGAACCCACATGGCTCCGTGGACACCAGAGTTTCTCACCACATCGCAACTGACCTAGGTACTCTGTCTCATGTTTTTTTCTCAAAGTTTAAACTTTAAATTCACCATCACATATCATTGTAGGTAATGGATCTAAAGTTCGCACCATATCTATTAGTACTCATTTGTTCCATACTATCTACGACATAAATCTGATGTATTCTATCATCTTATAAAATTTCTCGTTTATGTTCAAAATCAATTTAAAACTTTTGTCAAATCACTTCTTAGGTCTATTTTTCCTCTCTTCGCATTACCTTCTGCAACCACCACCCCTGCAACCCCCTACCTTCCCTACGTCCAGCATCTCCCCAGACACCCCTGGCCAAGCCAATCTCCCCCATCACCCACCTCACTTCACGGTCCACCCACCCAGGCCGCAGCTCAAAACCATCAAAACCCAAACGCCCACCCTGTGATCACCAATTCCAAAGTTGGCATCTCGTGCCCAAAACACATTCTCAACCTCAACACCACTGCCGCCATCTCTCCTCTACCCCCTACTTATCGTAGTGAACTTAAAGATCTTAGCTCGTAAAGTGTTATGTATGATGAAACTAGTCCTTGGTCTTGCTCTCTCTCGGGGCTGGCCTATCCATCACCTCGATGTCAAGAATGTTTTCCTTCACGGCACACTTTTGGACAGAGAATGCAAGTCAGACACTTTGGGACCAAGAATGCTTTTCTTCATACTCTGGGCTCCCAAGAATGCAAGTCAGGCACTTCACGCTTTACCTTTGGCCATGGGGCAGACATGGCCTTCTTATTTCTCTATGCTGATGACATTGTCCTCAATGCATCCTCTTCCTCCCTCCACCGCCAGATCACTCAGCGTTAAAATGGAATATTTTCCATGATTGACATGGAAGATCATCACTTCTTTCTAGGCAACAATGCTCAGCGCGCCAAGGATGGCCTCTTTCTAACCCAAACACAGACAGTTCGGACATAATATTCTTGAGCGAGCAGGCATGCTCGACTGCAAACCCATATCCACCCCTAACGATACACAGGGGAAATTAGTCTCTGGTGCCCGACCCTTCTCTCTATCATTCCATAGTGGGAGCCCTTCAGCATCTCACATTTACTCGCTCGAACATCACTTATGTCGTACAACAGCATTGCTTTCACCTTCATAATCCCAAGAGTCCTTATCTATCGGAAATGAAATATGTGCGTCCGTATCTTCATGGCACAACAACTCATACTATTACTCTCTCTAGCTCAGGAACTGATTTCTTACAGGCTTACTTGAACGCTGATTTGTTGTGTGTTTCTTGGGGACAATCTTATGTATTGGTCCTCTAAGAGACAAGCATAGTTATTAAGGGCGAGTGGCGAAGGGCAGAGGAGAGGATATTTTTATAGCGCAAGGTGTGGCGAGAGTATAAATTAACTCATGGGATATGCAAGAGTGAATCGATGCAGACACGGAGTGAATTGAACGAGAGAAAGCTTTGCCCTACTTGCGACTGTGTGCGAGATCCACTCGAGATGGCGAGGGAGATGAATTGATTGAAGATAGTGATGCTTGATGGAGAAGAATCGCAGATTGTGGAAGAGCTGGAGACCATCTCTCGTGCGCCTCAGGTAAATTGCCACCCCACAGCTGGTTACGGCGATGGTAGCTCGCCTCTGCGCCACAGGTGCAAAAGCATAAATGGTGCTCGCCATTAACATAGTTGTGAAAAGTGCACCTAAGACGCGCATCAAGCAAGGTGCAGGGCTCTGTGCATTCTTCGTGGTGATGCGGGCGATGTACGTTATGCGAGCGCATACCTGCACATCAGCCCAATAAGCGATGCAACTGGATGCGATAAAATGTGAACATCGCAAACATAGATTAAGTTTTTTATTTTTAAATTTTTTAAGGCTTGAACCAGCCCAAACATTTTCTTGTCTGCATCGTCTCTACACTTCTTTCTACAGCTTTGTTTCTTTTACCACTTCATCGCTAGGGCTTATTCTCTCTAGATCGACTTTGCTTCCTCCATGCATCGGTTTTCCTTTTGCTCTCTTCACATTTTCTATTTGCTAGCTTCACATTTTAGGTTCTTTTGTTTTTTTTAAATCGCGAGGCTTCCCCCTTTTTGGCTTGTCACTTTAATTTTGTTTCTTCCCGTTCAAACACGACTCTCTTTGGACTTTGTTGCTGGCCTGCTTCACATTTCAGCTTAGTAAGTAAATGGGTTCTTTACTTTTTTAAAACTGTGAGGCTTCCCCTTTTTTGCTTATCTCTTACTTTTGTTTCTTCCCATTCATATCCAATATTTTGACATAGAAGGAGAGAGACTCAATATCGCTAATGAGAATTACATTTGAGGTTTCTCTCATTGTTTGATGTTCCACAGCTCATTGTCTGTTTCTTGCATGTTCTTTGTTTTTTCTACTTGCTGCCTTTGTTCTTTGAACTTTAGGTTTTTTATGTTAATGATACTATGTGTGACTTTGATTCTTGGTTGCTTTCTCAAATTTTATTATGTCCTTCAAAATAATATACTGTGTATGTATTGTTGCTAATTTACCAAGTTTAGAGCTACTATGCTACTTCTCCCTAATTTGCACCTCATGTTCGCGTTCTTCATGTCTCTTCACAGTATGCTGACATCTTCACTAAGGGACTTCCATCCCTCCTCTATTGATTTCAAGAGCCTTGGCATTCGCTCCATATCACCCATGTAGCCGAGAGCATGTTAAATATCTTCTGCATATATTTAATTCCATATAGTAGTTACCCATGTATAGGAATTTGTTATGCTATGTATGGTAGTTAGCTTGCATAGGGGTTTCCTATTATATAATTCCCAACATAATTAGGATTCCACTCATGAATACATACAGGATTTTTCCCTTGTAATTAATCATCGAATATAATTATTCATTACAAACCTAATAATGATGAAGAGGTGTCATCAAGGAGACGTACTCACAACAGCACTACGGTGGGTTAAGCTCACATTGGTAACACCTCACAATGATGTATGGTGTCTATTACTCCCTCCGTCCAAAAATTTCTTTCCATGTTTGTCCTTGGAATTGCAGGCAGGTCTCTCACTCTTAAATTTGAAAGTCCATATAAAGTACTGCCTACAAATACGGACAGAAAGATTGTGCCAAGAACTGTTCTAGAGAGGTTCTTTTATGCATGTGTTTTGCACCAGTAAAACATACTAAAATGACCTTTGAAGGGAAATTTCACTAATCCCAATATATTAGCTTGCTAACGATATGGATCTATGAATGGGTAGCAAGGTGTATTTCTTATAACTCATTCAATGATTAGGTACTCAAAAGTGGCATACCGAAACTATTTATAAAGACGTGAAAAATTCCAAGTAAATTAATGAGTTCACTGAAATGTGTATAAGCAGACTGAGCTCCTGATTGCACTGAAATGGGTATAAGAGCAATGAATTGAATTGGGGTCCTGACCTGCTCCAGTGCTAATGCCATTAGGAACACAACATGTCTGCAAGAAATTTAAGCTGCATATATGAGGAAAGGGAAGATGATAAGATGTATGAAATATGGGCCTAAAATCTGCAGCAAAGACAAAAATACATTTGTTTACCACAAATGTAGGTCTTTACTGGATGCGGAAAAAAAAAACAAATGTGAAATGCCTTGAGGAGGGAGATCAAAATTATTATGTCTTCTTTTACTTTTCTGTTAAAGGAAAAAAAAAAAGAAGTGATAAAACACACCATCCTTAGCTAGCTAGAAAACCAAGGGGACATCCAACATTCCAACTGCACTGCATCAAAAATTACACCTCTCCCTCTTACGGAAGCTGTTTGAACTATCTGGTCGGAGATGGTAATGGTTATGATCCCTAGGACAGAGGCTCAAAGATCATTATTAAAAAGGTTGCACCATAACAGCATCCAATTGTTTTTTTTATTTACCTTTGGTTTGTTGGATTAGCAACATAACACTCCTTTTCTACCAACCATGTTTAGTCCAATCCCTACACTTTTACAGCTTGCTAAGAGGTGTGCATGGTGGCAGCGAAGCCAGTTGTATAAGTGAAGAATAATATGCAGGCAAGAAATTGAACTTTGAAGAAGAAATGCAGTAAATTTGAACTCCGCCGTGTTGATGTTTGCTTTTGGTGTTGCCGTGTTGAACTTGACAAAGGCAGTTAAACTTGACAAAGGGTATTCGAACTAGAGAAAAGCATGTGAACATGAACAATGCAATTTGAATTGGGAAAACAAGTTGAACGTGAACAAGGAATTAGACGAATTAAGACTCAAATCTGCAATTTTAGAACGAAGTCTTTGAACAAGAACAATGAATTAAAAGAATTAGATGTATTTCTTACACATAAGAACGAGTAAACTTCAAAAGCGTTCCTGACTTTTTGCAGTCACTTGGCTTATCCTACCTAACGCTGGGCATGGGAGAGAGAAAGAGGGACGAAGACGGAGGGAGACGGAGAGCCTAAACGGTGACGGAAGGTGGGAATTAAATGAAAAGAAAATCCGGACAGTAGATGTGTTTTGAGGTGAATCCAAGGGTCCATGATACTAACACTATGTTTGGTTCAAGGAATTTAAAAGGGAAAAAAAAAGAAAATGAAATGCAAAATCATTTTTCTTGTTTGGTTAGAGGGGAAAAGAAAGGAAAAGTGGAAGGAAAAGAAAATGAGGAGGCAAAATGTACCAAGTGGAGGAAAAATCAAATTCCTTCCATTTTGGTGAGGAAAATGAGAGAAAACTATTTTCTTTTATTTTCCTTCCAAAATCCTTGAGCCAAACATAGTGTAAGAGTCCGTTCTGTCAGACTTATTTTTTATACTTATTATTTAAGCCCCGTTCCGTTCAACTTATTTTTTCTTATTTTTTCTTATTTTTATTAAAATCAGATCAGGTCAGATCAGATCAGATCAGATCGAATCAAGAATTATTATTATTACTATTGTTGTTGTTGTTGATGATGTTATTATTATTATTATTATTATTATTATTATTATTATTAAAAATAAATAAAAATAAACTTTAGAAATAAGTTAAATAGAAAATTGAGAAAATAATACTTAATTATTAGACATCGTAAAAATTATTTTACTTAGTAGGTGTATGTATTTGAATAAATATAATCATACTAATTCCATTTAAATGATTTATAAACAAATATGAAGTACAGAGTATAAAATTTATTTATAAGTGAGGAGATTATTTTAATTATTATTTAACTTTTTTTATATTTTAATACAATTTTAGTCTAGCCATATCTTGGGTTTTAAAATTTCAATGTAGTTATTAAAATATATTGTTTGTTTTTATGAAAGATATTTAGATGTGAAAAAAACATCTTCCTCATTACTTAAAACATTTTTTATAAATGAAGAGTGAGAAATACTGTATTGAATTGAGAAAGAGTATTACTCTGTATCATAAAAATGAATGTTTCCCTTGCATAGTTAATTTTATTCAAAGATTTCATAGCGAAACATCCAATTCATTAGAACGTAACTCACTTTATTCAAAGATTTTATACCAAATCATTATCATAAAACGAATGTTTCCCATAGCTAATCTTTAATTTCTTTTTTCAACTTCAACGTTAACATAGCTCACTTTCTTGCATGCAACTCCACTTCCCAGCCGCGGCCCCCCTCTCACAGGGCTGCGACGTAAGATGCCATCACCCTCACAACGCCTTCTCCTCTAGCAAGGTATGAATAAGACTAATAAACTAATAAACTGTGAGAGTAGAGATGTAAAATCAGCAGATTGGGGATTACAAGGCAGTCCCAACTACAGATGATATGATAACCAATATGCGTGAACGTTTCCAAGAAAAACAAGATGGCAATAGAGAAAAGACAAATAGCTTGTGAAAGTACCGACAATGGACGGACCCAAAAAAACGGCATTCACTACATCAGATCAGGCACATCATGCCCGACAACATCAACCATTCAAGACAACCCATTCTGCATAACAAGGTAGATAACATCATCAGGAGAAAGGATAAAGCTCACCTCCTATGGAGTGTCTCTCTCCCTTTCCTTAGAAGCCTGACATATCAGTCGCTGTTTCTTAAATCTTCAATAAGTCGCATGATCTCTTGCCTGAAGGTCTCCTCAATAGAAGCCATCAACATTTTTCACAACAAAAGACAGCCAGTCCACGTCATTGTAAGTCTTGCCAGAGAGACAAAAATCAGAAACAGCCTCGGCGATTGCCATCACATACACTCCGCAATCATATCCATTTGTTTGTTGAGGAGCCTCACACTCCTTAAAGGACACCTCAATGGAAGCAACAGCAGTGTTTGGAGCTTTTTTCTTATTCTTATTCTTCTTCTTATTCTTAGCCCCCTCCTTTATTGAGTCTGATTCCACACCAACATATTGCTTCACAGAATCATAGAGTTTGAAGGCAGGGATGTGATTCTCCCCTTGCATAGTATCCAGATGAAGGAAGGAGTGTTTAGTTCTGTCGAATATGAAGATAGTCCAGTGTACGTGATCCACTCTGACCCTCACCAAACTCGTCACTATTGTTGACAGCGAATAAAACAAGGCGCTTGTTGCCCAATTTGAGGTGATCCACAACATCTTTGCGGCTTTCCTCATCGCAGTTTGCCAAAAAAAGGACACTAAAGGTGGTACAAAGGCAACATCATCTTGACTGCACAAAGACGACAAGTAACTGAAGTAGAACCTGATGACTTGATCATTCAAGTAGCAATGACTCCCTAAAGCATCCACGTCTGAAGCACTGAGTATCACGTCATTATACTTCAAAACCTCCATATTCCTCATTAAATCCTGCAAATACAACCAACCAAGAAAACAAACAAGAAAGCAAGGTATGAGTATTTGCATGTTTTCAAACAGAGAGTAAAATCAATCTGTCTTTATTGCCAGTCCTATATATTGCATACTACCAAACTAAGGATCCATCATTTTATGGTTTCCAATACTGTTCAAGTTCCCAACAGCAATGTAGCATCTCTCTGGAATAATGTCTTTTTGTTTCATCATCATTGCGTCACAACAGTTCATCCAGCGTGTCATCTTACAACATAACATGTTTAGCAGTCATATTCACACAGTAGGGGCTGGTTCATGGCACAAGTGTTTTCGAGCACAGATATAAAAACCACTCAATTCAACAAAGATTCCATAGGTTACCACATATGAACACACAACATTCATGCCCACTACAATCTTATGTTCTATTAACAATTAACGTAACAACCAGGGGCGGACCTAGGGTGGTGCAAGTGGGGTCACTTGCACCCACACCAAAAATTTTTTCTAATTAGAGCATGTGTAGTGGCGCGGAGGTTGGCTCCCTCGCACTGCCACATCACCTGCAAACCAAGGATGCCATGCATGGCAACAGAATTCCACCACGCATTGCGTGTAGTGAGCAAGACAAACTTTTTTAAATATTTATTCTATTTTTCTTTTTTGCACAAAAAAGATGCACATTTTTTAGAAACAGAGTACGTGTATTTTTATGAAAAAAAGAAAATTAAAATAATTTTCAATAATTAAAATATGTCATAAAAATGTAAAAAGTGACAAAAATGTGATTTGTCACTGCATAACATGTCAATCTACTTTCTTGTACTAGACTATTTTTGATTGATTGGATTATTCCCATAGAAATATTTGCACTAAATATCATTAAAATTTAAGTCATTTCCCTATATAATATTTAAATTGTTTTATTTTCTAAATATCACTTAATAATGTGTATAATGTCCAGTGATGGCGAACATTTAATTGAATAATGACTATTGGATAATGACTAAAAGTGTGACATTGAAAAAAAATACATTTGATGCTATTTACGGAAAATTATTATGTTTTAGTGTTATTTACGTAAAATATTTTCATGATAAAAATATATAGGTAATATAATTTTTAATAATTCAAATATGGCAAAAATATGAAAAAAGTGATGAAAACAATGACTTGCCACTCCAACTCACGTGCCACTCGTTGACTGGACAGTTTTTTATTGGTTGAAATGTTTCACGTCAGCGTGTGGCATTGCATTTTTGTCTCACCATTGTTCATGCTGTTACTAGTAGTATAAGAAATTAGGTTGTGTAGAATTTTTTGTTTTAATTCTATAGTTATGTAGAATTTTTTGTTTTAATTACTTTAGATTTGGAAAACTGATTTAACTTTCATCATGAAATTTAATTATAAAATTTTCAATTTTTTTTAAATGTATAAACAAGTTTAATTATATTGCTTTAAAATGATTCCTAAAATATAGTTAGTATTTTGAAGAAATGTCTAGAATTAGTACTTTAGCTGTTTAGTTTTTTTTTTCTTTTTTTGTTTAAAACAATGAACGTATTATAGTTTTTGTACATTATTTCAAAAATATTACATATCACTCACAATATTAATCTCAAAATGTTATTCATTGATACTTTTTTACCTTTGAGGTTTTAGATTTATTGTTATACAAATATCAACAATTTTTTTGTGCACAAAATGTGAACCCACTCACCAAAATTCCTGGGTCCGCCCCTGGCAACAACCCCACATGCTCCAATATATTTCCTCCGTCCCTGAGTATTCGTCCAGTTTTGACTTTTGGAACTGCTCATCTAAGTACTTTGACTCATCAAATTCTCTCAATGTGTAAGCCTTAGTCATGTGTGATCTTGTTTGATTTGTCTTAACATATAGATTATTAATATATAACTTTTATAATTTTTTAATATACAAATTACAAGATAAAATGGATTAAAGAAGTACATTGGATGATGTGAAAAAATGAAAGTGGACAAATACTATGGGACGGAGGTAGTAATTTCTATAATTTTTTAATATATAAATTACAAGATAAAATGGATTAAAGAAATGAATTGGATGATGTGTAAAAATGAAAGTGGACAAATATTCTGGAATACTCGGTATTATATATGGACCAACACACACATATAACGATTGTTCATTCCAATCCTAAAATCCGGATGACAATTGTCGCACTAACCTCAAAGATAAACCGCCAAATTGGCGAAATATCAAGAGTAATTTACCAACATATGTAACAAAAAAATATCCATTCCTGGCAGTGCAAATCAGACTTTTTTTTCCTGGCAGTGCATGACGGATTTGGCTAATCCGTTTCAATTTGAAAATTTTAAATGAAACGGATTTGGCTAATCCGTTCTAGGTTTTTAATTTACCAGACGAAGTAGCCTACTGCGTTTCAATTTATTTAAAAAAAAACCCAAACGGAGTAGGCAAATCCGTTTCATATACAATTAAAGCCAGACGGATTAGCCTACTCCGTCTCTCTATTCGGATAACCCTTCCCCTTCCATCGTCCACTCATTCATTCGCCATCCACACCATCCGCCGACCGCCGACCAGAGCTCGCCATCCACCAAGCGCCGACCGACGACTGAAGGGGAAACCGCCGGGACATCCGACCATCCAAACGGGGCAACCGGAAATCCGACCAGGACAATTCGGATTAGCCTAATCCGTTTCATGGAGGTAATTTTTATTTTTTTAGTTAATTTATATATATATTTATCATTTTATGATAATATTTAGATTTATGTTTTATAAAATTGTAAAAATTATATAGAATTACCAATTTGGGTGAATTTGTTAATTATAATTGATATATATTATTAGTTTGTAATTGCCTAGTTGTGTGCTTGTATTAAATCAATAAATTCTTATGTCGTTTAAATAAAGTGCGTTGTTATTAAATGAATAAATTGTTATTCTGTAATCTTTGAAGCAAATGGATGTTCATCCGGGACCTATTTCCCGAGACGTTTTAGTTCTTGAAGGCGGAGTACATAGGTGTGATGCAGTATGGGCGGACGAAGAATATGCCAAAAAGAGTCTAAAGTGTCATAAGACTTGTTCTAGTATATATCCGAGGACTCTAGTTGCTAATAGACTACCTCGTGTTATAGAGATCTTACAAGATTATGAATTTTATGGGGTGGAGAAAGTGGGTGGATTACAGTTAGATTGGGCTCTGATTACTTCTTTAGTGGAGAGATGGAGACCCGAGACACATTCATTCCATCTTCCATTTGGAGAGGTGAGAATTACACTACAAGATGTTGAGGTTTTACTTGGATTGCCCGTAGATGGCATTCCATTGTCGGGGGGCACTAGTCGGTCAAGAGATCAATGGATTCAGATTTGTGATGACATGATGGGTTTGATACCTGAACCATCTGATATTACGTCTTCTACGATTAAGATATCTGCAATTGAACCAAAGACGCTGACAGAGCACAGTGTAGAAGTCGATTACCAACAGCATGCTAGAGCTATCATGTTTAAGTTGATGGGTGGCAGCTTATTTCCCAACACGACGGGAAATAAGGTTAGTTTGTATTTGATTCCAAATGTTTTTTCAATTCAGTCCTACATCAATGCTTACTCTGGCATTATAATGCCACTACCGAATGAGTCTCAATGGCATACTCCAGAGTACGAGATCCTGAGGCCAACACCACGACAGACCACACGAACCGGCCGACGTACGAGAACCGCTATCCGAATAACATGGACTATCGACCACGGAGACATCGTAACGAGGAATAGCTTTGTCATGAATTTCAATTATGTCTGAGTTTATGTATTATTAAATTTTACAAATAAGTTAGTCATGGATTGTGTTTTGGCTTCTTCTTTTTATGAATAAATTGTTATATGTACTCTAGCAATAAAATTATTGTGTTTTGTCTTGTTCTTTTAATATCGTTATATAAATACCACTTAAAGTCAATNATCCTGAGGCCAACACCACGACAGACCACACGAACCGGCCGACGTACGAGAACCCGCTATCCGAATAACATGGACTATCGACCACGGAGACATCGTAACGAGGAATAGCTTTGTCATGAATTTCAATTATGTCTGAGTTTATGTATTATTAAATTTTACAAATAAGTTAGTCATGGATTGTGTTTTGGCTTCTTCTTTTTATGAATAAATTGTTATATGTACTCTAGCAATAAAATTATTGTGTTTTGTCTTGTTCTTTTAATATCGTTATATAAATACCACTTAAAGTCAATGAATAGTATTTTGTTTAAAATTTTATTGTAGTCTATTATTTACATCTTCTTTATGTATGTTTCTCGTTTATTTTGTAATTAATTTGGTTTCTTATACGTAATTTAAAAGTAACAGAAGCAAATTGATTTAATTCAGTTATTAAAAAATTTAAAAAATTATAAAATACAATATTTTAATAAAATAAAGTTAGAAAAATTAAAAAAAAAGTTTATAAAAGTGGATTTAATTTGTTAAAAAGGTTTATAAAAGAGGAGATAAAATAACTAAAAAAAATTTAAAGGGGAAAAAAAGGAACAAAGCAAAAAATCCGTTTTTAAAGAAAATTACAAAAAAAAAATAAATATTGGAACGGATTAGGCTAATCCGTTTGGTAATTAAATAAGTGAAACGGATTAGCCTAATATGCATCAGAACGGATTAGGCAAATCCGGTTGGTATTTTGGGGGAAAGTCCACTTTTAAATTGCATTTAAAGGATTGCTATGCAAGGTTTTTACACAAAGGAATGACCCAAATATCAAGCTAATGCCTAATATACGATATTATCCGCGGCTACCCTTCACCCTATGGCCATCTTCACCGGATCAAAAATCAATTGCCATCTTCACATAGCTCTTCCGATCGCCATCTCCGAAGACAGGTATTCCGATTGCCATCTACTTACTATTTCGATAATCTTCCCCTTCGCTGCTTTTTTGTTTCAATTTTCAATTTTTTTTCGTTCACTTTTTTTTTCACTTCAATTTTCACTTTTTTTTTTTCAATTTCCAGATGCTCTGCTTACTTCAATTTTCACTTTTTTCAAATTTCAATTTCAAGTTTTCAATTTTCGTTTCTCTTTTTTTTTCCTGTTTTTTAATGGTTTTTTCTGTTCTTTTCCTGTGCTTCCTTTGCTTCTGCCCAAATCCAGGACGGTATGCTTCTCTCCTCCTCTTTAGTTTTGTTTGTTTGTTTGTTTGTTTGGGATCTGTTTTATAAAGCAGCATAGTTTTTACGGAGTATTTATCAGATGAATTGAGATTCTTTCACCATTAATCCGACTGCTTTGGAAGAGATAATGAAATACTCCCTCCGTCCTAAAACTTTCTTCATAGAGAACTATTCTAACTTTACTGGAATTTATATTTTTTTGTGTTTTTTCATGGCCTATATGATAAAATAAAATATTCTTGTCACCACTTGTTTTGTTGAACTTTTGATGTAGTTTTTAAATATGTATGTTTTATTTTTTATTTCTATATCAATATTTAAATAAAATAGATTGAAAAAACTTGAAATTTTTCTTTGTTTTGCGCAACGGGAAGAAAGATATAGGACGGAGGGAGTACATCCTAAACAAATAAAAAAAACAACCACAAGGATATTTTAGTAATTTTATTCTTTCCTTACCTACGTTACCTAATAAACAAACAAACACAATTTTTTAATTCATTACCTTACTTTACCTACCTTCAATTACCTACCATTACCTACCTATTAAAATTTTTACCTACCTCCAACCAAACATAGCCTTATTTTACCTTCCTCACCAATATTATCATTCCCAACTTACATTTAATTTCTATTCTTTTTTTAAAGTCATAAATCTTTATTGAAATTTTGGGGTAATAGCATGGGTGCTCCCGTAGTTTATAAAAGGGGCGCCAAAACCTCCTCTACTTTCAAATGTTATTTGTAAAATTCTTATGGTCTACTTTCAAATGTTATTTGTAAAATTCTTATGGTTTTTAATTAGTGCACAGACACCCCCTCTTCCCTATTTTTAGACATAAAATGACATTTCTACCCTTTATTTTTCTCTATCTTAAAGTTTCACACTCTTTTACTTGCATTTTTTGTTATACAAATAAATAAATAAAATATACGCCCCATTTCTAAAATTGAAAATTTTCATATATTTAATTTTCAAAAAAATAATTTTTTTTAGAAAATGTTACAAAAGGAAATTAAAAACTAAGAAAAGGAAATAAAATACACCTTTTCATTACAAGTAAAAGTAAAATTAAAAAAATAAAAAATTAGATAACATATACTCACTCTGTCTCTAATTAAAAATTTTAACTTATTTGTTATTTAAAAGTAAAATAATTTTCAAAGGACTTTAAAAAAGGAAGAACAAAAAGATTAAAATAAAATACGGAGTTAAAGAAAAAGACTGTTTTTATATTTTTCTTTCTTTTCATTACCTCTCTCAATTATTATTTTTACTTTATACATAATATTTTATTTTTCATTTTCTTTTGTAACATTCTCCAAAAAAAATCTTTTTTCCCAAAAATACATTATGGAAAATTTTAATTTGAGATGAGAAGCGTATATTTTATTTAATATATTTGTATAATAGAGGAAAATAAAATAGAGAAAATTCAAGATCGAGGAAAAGAAAGGGCATAAATGTCATTAATATTTTAAAAATAGGTAAGGGGGCATGCATGCTCTATTTAGAAACCATAGAACTTTACAAATAATGTTTGAAAACAGAAAGGGTTTTGATGCCCTTTTTGTAAACCACGGGGGGCAACGATGCTATTTTCCCTTGAAATTTTTTATATGTCCATAGACTAGGTAAAAAAATTATGGAATTCTATTAGTATTCTTTGAATAACTGATTTTTTTTGTAAATAGCTATTATTCTTTTTGAAACACTGCACAATCATATATCTAACTATATACAATCCTAAGATAGATTTGTGAACAGTATTCTCACAGAAAACCTGTAAGGAATCCCGTAATAAGTAGCAACCTGATCCACAGACTTTTTTATATTTGTGAATCGTAAAACTGTTTATTAAATATTTTATTTAATGATATAATCTTCTTAATAATTTTAAACAATTTGAAATGTTTACTTTCAAATTTATTAAATTATATTTAGTTTTATTTATTATATTCTCATTCTATAAAATTTAAAATTCTTTTTTCATGTTCAATTAGTTTATTTATTTCAAAAATTGACTAATTTGAAAAAACACCCAATTAGAAAGCTCATTTTGGGAAATTAATATAATTTTTAACGCCATCTTAACGTAGTTTTGATGGCCGTTAGTCGGGGATTAAACTGAGCATTTTTCTAACTTAACAAGAATCCTCTCGGTATTCTATTCATTTTGGAGACTAATTTAGAAAAACACGTGGTTATTGAATACTCGACCCGTTTAATTTCTTTCTCACTTTCCTTTTTGGGCAGTCTAAAAATTTATTTCTCTTTTCCTATTTTGGCAACAAAATTTTAATGAGAGTATCATTGTACTCACATTTTTAATCTACGCAACTCATTTTAATCCATGACATCAAAGATAAATATAAAAAGTCTACTTTTTAAGTACGGAGTATCATTTTATTCTAAACGAAACAAGATTTACCAAAAACGCACATAATTGAACAGAATTAGCACAAGGTAGCAACTGATCGAGATGGATGATGAATGAAATTAATATAATTAATTAAAGTCTTGGAGGCTGATTGAGATAGAGATCAGAGATGATAAGGATTCACAAATATATCTGCTCAAACAAATAGGGAGAAGAACTTGCGAATCATTGGGAAAACGGAAGGAGAACTTTGCTGCTTCCAATTCCAACTTTTTTTATTATTATCCAACGGCCGGAGAAAAGTTCACCGCAAGGCCATTGAAACAGGTCTAAGCTGTGACGTCCATGTGGTGGTGTTGCCAGTACGTATGAACTCTACTGGTATAGGCTTGTCTCGGATGCCCTAAAGGTGTTTGATCAAATAAAGCAATCAGATATGGCACTATGGAATACTATACTGATAATGCAATACATTAGAATCTATCCAAGTTCATGAAGAATTAAAACAATCCTTGGATTTTGCATAGTTCTTGCGTTATAAATTTTTTTGACAAAATCCTTTATAATTTGAATTAAATACACCCCTTTAGTGGATGTTATTATCATTTAGGAGATTTATATGGAAGAAATTCCGCATATGAAATGCTTTTCTTCTATTATCCCTACATTTTCCGATGCAACACGATTCTACAAATCTTACTTTCACGTTTCAGATGAGTATTTGTTTTGCTATATTTTTCAATTTTGTGATTTTATCCATTTGTATTTACAAGAGACTATTCGCGTGTAGAGTTTTTGTTGGCTCTTTTGAATGTGTAATTTTCCCATTTTTTGCTATGTTTGTTAATTTATGTAAAATGAGTCTATAAATATTAAATAGTGCTTAGCAGGCAGCATAAATAATGTTGTGTCTCAAATTGCAATTACCTTCTGTTGCAAGACTACAGCTCAAACTTCACTTTTTCCAAGTATTTATTTTAAAGTGTACATAGTTCGTGTTGGGTGCAAACAAATCCTCACATTTTTATCTTAATTATTTAAGCAAAAGAAAAAAGGGAAATAAGAGAGAAAGTCAAGTATTGTGACATTGACTAATGAGAAGACAACAAAATTGAAGTTAAAGACTTCAATCTTGAGGCGGTGAGGAGGAGATGAGCTCCTCACCTTACATGGGCTTCCTTTAAGAATACCTCTCTAGAGAGAGAGAGGAAAGGAATGGAGTAATCTTCTTCTATGAAAGCCTCTTCATGAGAGTCCTTTCTAGAGATAAAAGGAGGGAGGAAGAGATAAGAAAGAGGGAAAGTTTTGTGTCGGGAATGAGATCCACAATAATTTTAGAGAGTAATTTTGTTGAGAGAGTGCTCCCGAACTAGTTGAGAATTCGAAACACTTTGTGAGAATCCTTTACAATTTTTGAAACTGTGATTTGTATTCCAAACACAAATAGTGTGTTCTTGGGCCTTCTTGTATTGCTAATTTTCTCTATTCTTGCATATTTTTCCTCAATAGGAGCATGGTATCCCAATAGTTCGATCATGCATATTTTGGACCTGTCATCATACAATGTTTAATCATTGTCCATCACTATGTTTTATTCCATAGGGATTTGAGTTCATGAGCAGCAAACAGGATTTCCTGATGCTTAATTGATTTATGTTTCAAATTTGATATACTATTATTAGCTTCCTATTGTTAATGTAAATAGTGCTTGGAGTTCTAACTTCTAACTACTAGTAATATTTTGACTTTTGAGGCAATACTCATAATTTTTATTTCTCAATGCATTCAAACAGGGGGTATCATAAACAAATGTGTGCTGGTCTATAAATTCCTGAAGGAGAAAACATGAGTATGCTATATAGCAGCTGTGCTTATGCATTTCCTTGCCACTTTTCAGCACTAGTACAAAAACAGGTGATGCTTAGATGTTTTGTTTCCTGTTTATTACCCTTCAATAATCCCATCTTTGTACTTTCAGGGTATGTTTGAGTCCCGGAAAATGCTACGGGAAGGGAAAACATGCTAAGAGAAGTCGTTTTCTGATGTTTCGTTTTACCTTGGAAATTGAATATGAAAATCAAACGTGTCATTTTAAAGTACTCCGTAATATATTTAGATTTCTTAGTCTTTAGGAAATAGATATAAAAAATAAAATAGTATGTTCAAATATCTCAAATAAATTTAATGAGCATTTTCTATCTTTTGTTTTACCCCACTTTTTTTCCTTCCAGTTTTAGCAATATTATTCTTCCTATTTTTCCATAGTATTTTATGGGATCCAAAAAGACTCATAGTGTTCATGATGTGTATCTTTTTGTCTGCGGTATTTTAGATCTCAAGCGTTAAAGTGATTGGTTCCCTTCAAATTCAGTTTTTGAAGTACCGTTCTCCTCGCAAAAAGACCGAGAAGTATGCAGTGTCATCTCAAAAGGAAAGAAAAAATGATCCTTGCTCAGTTGCGCCTCCATTTTTGTTGTTCTTGTTGTTGACTTGTTGTTGTCGTCGTTGTTTACCTCTCTCTGTGCAATTTTTAATTACCATCAATCATTTTTGAAATTTATAATTTAATATATAGGTAACTGGCGTTCAACCACTTTCGACTGTTCCCAATGCTGCTGAGAAGTGAGTTTCATCAGTTCAAAATATTTAATCCGAGATCAAATTAAATCTTCTTTTGTCAAGGTACATATGCCCATATTCCTAATTTTTACTTGAATGGATTTGAAAATTGGGAGGTGCAGGAGCACACTTCAGAGAAGAGGAAAGAAAGAACACCATTTATGGAAGAAAAGAGATTCGACTGGGTCGGGTACGAAGGCACAGAACCTTGTTAGAATTGTAAGTAAAATAATTGATCAACAAATGCCTTGGCTTTAACAACACAAGTTTTCTTGCTAAGTCAAGACACTGTGCTTTTGACTTCGCAGATATCAGGACTTCCAAATGAGAAGAATGCCGTTTATGGTGCACTGGATAAGTGGGTTGCATGGGAAACTGAATTTCCAGTGATTGCAGTCGCTAAGGCATTAAGAATACTGAGGAAGCGGCGTCAGTGGACACAGCTAATTCAGGTATGAGATTTTCATTCGAAACTTTGGATCTGTCCACTAATGAGGTTTGTGATGGTATTTTTATTTGTTTAATGTTTCACCTTGGTAAAGTATTCTTCTACTAGTGCTTCATGCATAACTATAATGTTTGGAGGGGGTCTATTTGGCATCAAGTTTTTAATTATGCTTGCAATGATTTATATCCACTACTCATATGACAATGGATTTCAATGCTTAGGTGGCCAAGTGGATGTTGAGCAAAGGTCAAGGCGCAACAATGGGCACTTATAATTTGCTTTTACTTGCATTTGATATGGATCACCGAGTAGATGAGGCATTGATGTTATGGAATATGATCCTTCATACGCACACTCGCTCCATCTCAAAGTGGTTGTTTTCTAGAATAATCTCTTTATACGATCACCACAATATGACGGATAAGATCATAGAGGTGAGTAATGAACTTGCTTGCTTGTGATCTTCCTAGTGGCGAGTTGTTTTGGCTTAAATTTGTTTAAGCTATATTTTATCTGAATATTAGCAGTAGTGTTGTTTAAACATTTTTTGAATTTGACAATGAATGAACATGGATGGAAAATTTCAGGTTTTTGCAGACATGGAAGAATTATCTGTAAAACCTGATGAAGTTACTGTAAAAAAAATTGCAAGTGCTTTCCAGACTCTTGGGCAGCTTGACAAGAAGAATATGGTTCTGAAAAGGTATCTGAAGAAATGGAAATATATTCATTTCAAGGGTGAACGAGTTAAGGTGAGAACAGATGCATGGGATGAAGAAAGTCAATGATTGCTGACATCATCGTTCTTGAGTTCTAAAAAATGTATACTTAAAAACATAGCCTATGCCAACGACACAGCAATGGGACTTGTAACAGTATGGATCCCATCGTTCCAAGCAAGCCATCCAAATTCATACTTGTCTTTCACCATGCTCATCTTCATTTCACTGCGTGCTTTAACAGTAACAGTAAAGCTCTTTGTCTCACCTGTCCGGTTGAAGTACAATATGGGAGGAGAGATCTTAACGGAAAATCCAAACGGAGGCCTGACACTAGCAGAGTAAACACTTCCACTACTTCCCACATTTGTGACAGCTCTCTTCACAACCACAGCCCCTTTGAGTTTAGGAATTGCAAGGGAGGGATAGTTGAGGCTGGAAGGCGAAGGGGTGTGTTTGGGGCACTTGAAGGATGGGTCGATGCCCTTAACTCCATTTGCGCAAAGGAAGAGAAGATAATCAAAGTATGAGGCGTTGTAGATAAGCCCGGGATCTGCAGCTTTCGATGGCCTAAAATGTCCTGCCCCAAATTGGAATGGATCTGCCGGGAGGCCACTTGCATCTGTTATTTGCTTCCCCATATTGTTTTTCAACTCAGCTGCGTCCAAGTAAAAAAAAAACGGAAACTCTCATCACAAATCATGTAAAATTAGGTACTCACCTCAAATGAGCCCAAACAAACCCCAAAAACCATTGTATCAGACAACACACATAATATGTAAATGAACAGACCCGTAGTCATGAGAGCTGATCTGATTGCAGCACTACTCCAATGAGGATGAATTGCCTTAAGAAGTGCAGCAGCACCACTTACATGGGGGCAAGACATTGAAGTTCCTGACAATATGTTATACTTAACTACTCTATGATCAATGTCAAGCTTCGTGGGTGATGATTTTTCACTCCATGCGGCCAATATATTAAGCCCTGGCGCCGTTATATCGGGCTACAATCATTTGTAAAAGAACTTTCAGAGCATTATTTAAAATGTGAATCCAACTCAACAGACCATAAATTGGTTTACCTTGAGAATTTCGGGTGCAATTGGGCTTGGTCCTCTACTTGTGAAGGCCGCCATAGAAGGTGCTGGTTTTGTGTGCAATATTGTCTGAGCAGGAAAGATATAGGCTTTTGGCGCCTTTGTAGATTGTATGTACTTGATAATCTTTAATGCAGTTTTGTAGGCCACTGCTGTTGCTGGAAGGAGATGAGCATCGGTTGAGATTTCATCTCCGTTTGCTTTGCTGTTTCCAAGTATGTATCCAACTCCACCTGCTCTTTTCACTTCCCCTCCCTTTCCAACTCTCGTCCCGTTCCCTCTTATGCACATCACAATCTTTCCTTTTGCTTTTTCTGGCAATAGAGAATTCGGTAGGCATTGCCTGCAAATGTCCCAAGATAGATTTTGGGGTTTTTGCAGTTGAGTTCAAATTCTTGCTAGATCTTTTATTAGAATTATCATTTAAGGTCTATTCTATCTATAAAGCTTAAATATATGTGGTTTTGCCCTGGCAAATAGTATTTTTGGTTCTATAAAATTATTATTTTTATAGTTCATTCTTACAATATTGCAACTTGGGCTGAAGCTTTGTCAGCCACATCACTATTTAGGTTGACAGAGAGTGTATACAAAGAATATGATGTAAATTACAATATTGAATAACAAAAAATAACTTTATAGGGATCTAAAAAGAAAAAGCAATACTGGTAGAGATAAAAACATACTATATATACAGAGTATATTTTGATCAAGTAGTAGTGTGATTACTCACCCTGCAAGATCTTTGGAAACATTAGAGTTGACCACTTGGCCTGCATAAACCAAAGGGTACATTTTGTCTTCCAGCTTGTAAGGTGTGACAGTTTGTCCCTAATTTTGTTTCAAACACAACAACAACATTCAAGCCATAAACATCATACCAAAAAAAGTCAAAACCCAGTATGACCCCAACTTCGTTTGAGTCCGGGGTCGAAAGTCAAAGCCAAAAAAAGTCAAAACCCAAAAGTAAAATGTTTCCGGAACTTAGTTACCGTGAGTTTTTCCCCATTCCCCAGTATAAGTGGAGCCATGAACGTCCGGTCTAGGCTGCTAGCCCCAACAGTGATGATCCAAGGAGCTGTGTTAGACAACGTAGCCGGGTTAGGGCCTGAATTCCCCGCGCTGCACGACACAACAATGTTATTTTTGATTGCGTGCAGGGCACCAATCGCGATGGAGTCTTGGTCAAACGGCGTGGGCTTGGTGGTTCCTATGGAGATGCTGATGACATCCACACCATCCCTTATTGCGTCATCCATGGCCGCCAGCATGTCTTCCTCAAAACACGTGTTGCCCTCCTCCTTGCCCTGCTTTGGGATGGCCCAGCACACTTTGTACGCTGCCAGGCGGGCCAGCGGCGCGCCTCCCGATGCGGTCCCGCCGGCGAAGCCGCCGAGAGCGGACGTGTTGGCCACTCTCCGGCCGGAGGCGGTGGAGGAGGTGTGTGTTCCGTGGCCGTCCTTGTCTCGGGGAGACATGTAGTCGAGGGTCCTGTTCAGTGGACCATAGTATCTTTCATATCCCTTGAGGTAGTATTTGGCGCCAATTACCTTCCTGATAAAAAAAAAGGTAAATTCTCAAAATAGTTATTTCAAATAGGGTATTTTTTGAAATTAGTCACCAATAAGTTTTAAATGTCTATGTGGTATGAGTGAAGCATATGCATAAAATTAAAATAAGACTTTTATACTTTTATTCTTAAAATAGAACTTGTGATATTAATAATACTAACATATACTTTAATATAAAAAATACTATGGAATGTCAACATATAATATCATATTGTCACAACATAATAATTTTATTTTGTGGATAAAAACATGTCTTCATATTTTAGTAATAAGAACTATGTTTTGCTCTTATAAGAGTCATTTGATAAAATAATATAATTAGGTCATCTCTAGTTTTGTAAACCTTTTGATGTTACTGAATATATAAATTTTATATTTATACTTAATTAAATTGAATTAAAAATAAAATTAGACAAATCTTATAAGCAGAAACTTAAAGTTAATTTTAGGAAGAAGGGAGTAAAAAAAGGAGATTGGACTTTTGGAGCTTGACCCACATGTTTAGCTCTAAGAGGGACTTACTATGTATAGACTCGTCTATCACATGAAATGGGTCAAAGTGTTTGCTGTAAAATGGCGAGAAGAGAATCAATCCTCACAAGAAAACACATTTCGCAATCCCGTGGATTAATTGTCAACCTTTTATCCTTCTCTTCTTTTTTAGCCACAACACTTTGTTTTCTAGTGGACTTTTTTAATTACTCCACATTTTATGTACTTTTATCACATCTTTGTACTAAGGTACTGTTACAAATTTTGTCACCCTAAAATAGTCTGTAGAGTAGTGTTATATTTGTTTCAAAAGTATACTTAGTTAAGTGGTGTAACATTGTGATACCAGTGATTTTGAGGTACTTACTATTTTCTTTTCGTAAAATTAATAGTTCTTACTCTCATAAACTCTCCGGACCCATCAATTTCACCTCGGTGTGGGGGATCCAAATCGGTGATCTAGGGGGGTGGGTGGGGGCGGGGTTAAATTGATGGGTATGGGGGGTGGCCTAGGGGGGTTATTGGGAGTAGGAACCACCAATTTTATGAACGAAGCACCGTAGGTACCCCAAAACTACTGGTGTCACGACTGGTATTATTTTTATTGGTGTAAATTTACAAGTTTGTTTTGTTAAATCTGCAAAATATAGTTAAACCAATGTTTTTTTACATTATGTTTGTTCAAGGAATTTAAATGAGAAAAGAAAAAAATGAGATGGAAAAAGACAAAATGAACTAAGAGGGAAAAAACGAAAATTTTCGGATGCATTTTTGTGACGAAAATGAGAAAAAAACATTTTTTTAAAAATTTTTCTTTCTTAATTCATTGAACCAAGCATGGTGTTAGTCTCTTAGCAGTTAAAGTCTCCAATAATTTAACTAGGTGATGAAACATGATTCTTGGATTTTATGGGGACTAGAAGAGTAATTATTATTCTAGTGAAGAAAAAAGGGCGAGAAATACCCACTTGTTGCAATGAGAGGGGTGGAAGTCATCTCCAGATTGGCATTCTCCTTTCCATGCTTTTGGAATATTACCCAACCCATCATCTCTAAAGCTCTCTGATTCTGGCCACAACCCTATAATATACCCCATCCATCATTTTCGATAACATAAGTCAAACATCGCAAAATATGTGTCCAGAATGCTATGAACCAGCAAAAAAATATGCGATTAAAATTTATTTTATATAAAAAATAAGAACAAGATAATGCCTCTTTAATTAATTTCGTACACGAAATTGGTGCGAAGTCATTTCAGAACGAGCAAAATAAGAACGAGGAAACATAATTGTGTTTTAAAAAAATGATGATACAGTTTTAGCGTTTTGAAAATGTTATCTAACGTCGTTACTTAGTTTTAGTGTTTTGAAAATTAATCTGAACTGTTAAAAATAATCCAAAACGTTAACGCAACATAATTTTAGAACAAACAAAATAAGAAAATGGAAATATAATTGTGTTTTTTTAATTAAAAAAGACATGAGTTTGACGTTTTGAAAATGCTATCTAACAGCGTTTTAAAAAAGTAATCTAGAATGCTAACTGCAAAAAATGTTATTCCCTAAGGAGACTGATATAGGGGAACACATGCATGCATTAAGAACAAGAAGAAGAAATAAACCACTAATTAAAAATTAATTATGTAAATATACCACTGTCAAGAACCCCAATGATGATATTTTGCCCATAATTAGATTTAAGGAGCAAATCTTGTTTGTTGAAGGTGTTGTGTGCTGGTAATCCTGAAAATTCCCAAGACCTTGTTGTATGCATTCTGTATTTTCTTGGATTGCTTTCATACACAGAAACCACTTCCTCCAACTCTGTAAACATATACTATTACATCAATATATTGAAGAGTTATATTTTATTATATTTATTTTTGTGAATTAACTGTTACTATATTAATTAAATACCAGATTATAATTTAGTTTCTGTAAATAATTATTGGCTAAATTTCCATTTTTATTGTATCCGGGCCCACAAGTTGGAGTGGTCAGATGATAATTAGCCGCTCTACACTTAAAATTCTTTCATTGTGGAAAGTTTTGAGTTCGAGTCATCGATCTTATCGATAAAAAGTACACACTTTCACCTAAAATAAGTTTGAGAGTTTCACTCTGCTTTCATATATATTAGGAATCTAACCGTGCAAAAGAGTATTACAAGAGGATTGACTTATGGCAATGACAGTGGATTTATACATGTCTGGGATAAGATTCTTGCACTTTTACAAGAGACAAACTACGGAGTATTTGTCTTTATATTATTGCCCAACTAAAGCTTCATTTACCATAGGATGTAGTCCCTTCTTTTTTAAAATACTTCCTCTTTTATTTATTTCTTTTTCAAAAGTACTTCCATTTTCTATTAAAATTGACTTTTACCCATATTTAATCTTAACCTAGATCACATCATATATACTAATAATCAACCTATTACATCTTATTCCAGTTCAAAATAGTAAGGGCAAAATTGGAAAATTAACTACAAATACACATTCATTATTTCACACATTAGTCAAAATAAGAACCCTTTTTAGATATGGAACGAGTATGTATTTCATCCTTGCGTTAGTTGCAGTTAATCTTGAATTGATCCCTTTGAACAGAGTTTTCGGCTAATCGCGCATTTTTACGACACCTTTCAAAAGGCTCCGTTTTATTAAGTTGGATTGATCTTTATTTATTTTTTGTCTAATTTCTTCTAAAGAAATCACCCAAGTGGGATCAATACATAACCTTTATCCCAAAGTAAAAGTGACAGTTTTCAAAAAAAAAAAAAAAAAAAAAAGTAAAAGTGACATTTTTTAATTCTAAATTAGAATTTTTGCACTACGACAATATGACATTATATATCGATATTTCATACTTCATAACATTTTTACTCCATTTGTTTGCAAAAATCATTCCTATTTTGACTATTAGGAAGGATAATGAGTGTATATTTCGTATTTGACTTTCTAATTTTGCTTTTGATACGATATGTAAAAGTAAGATATGATGGGTATATTGATAATAAATAGATATGATATGATAGGTTACGTATGATTTAGTAGGGGTAAAATCTATTTTTTTATTAAAATGTAAAAGTGCTTAGTTGAAAAAGTAAAAAAAGGAGTTTTAAAAAACGAAGAAAGTATTATATGTTGGTATTATTGATATTATACGTCTTATTTGGTAAATAAAAATATGAAATTCTTATTTTGCTTATCTTTATATTTTATTCTTATTTTAGTCTTTTTAATTTCTCTGTACATCTCTTGTGTGAGACTGGGTCTATTTGGTATAAAGAATTGATGGAATCAGAATTGAATTGGAATTGAAATTCTATAAAACTGTATTCGATGCAATTAGATTTTCTAATTTCAATTCATTTTTTGTATTACCAATTCTAAATCAACATACTTTTGTATGCTACCAAACACCAGAATCGAAATTGCAGTTTCTAATTCTAATTCCATAACTTGAATTTCGTATACCAAACAGAGTCTAAATGTAATTCAGAAATTAAACCCCTTTACCTCCCTTCAAGTATATATATATATGAACTGAAAAACATCCCTAAATTAAAAAAAACGTCGGATTAATTTTAATTACCGGGGTGAAATTGAAATTTAGCGAGATAGAGTAAATGATAAATTACCAGATAATTTGGAGGCTTGATGAGGAGAGAGGAGAGCAGCAAAACCATTAATACTGTGCTTGTAACTATAGAGAAGAGAAGATTTGGCTTCTTCCTCACTCCTCTTCACTGACACCAGATATGAATGGTGCCTTCTTTCAACCTCTTCTCCCTCTTTCTCCCCTTTGTGCTCTCCAAAATACACTATATAAACCTGTGTATAATTAAATTATTACTCTAATTACCTAAATAAAAACTAGTGTAATTATTTAATTAAGCATATATCAAGGGAAAAAAATATGGGTAGATGATGATGAGATGAAAACAAGGACCTGTTCTTCATTGCATGAAGCCAATATGTGGAGAAGTAAGAAGAAGAAGAAGAGCAATGATGTATGAAGTTGATTCATTGCTAATGACAATGAGAGGTGATTAGTGATAGGTTAAAGACTAATCATTCAAGGATTTTGGAGATCTATGTATGTATATTTATAGTAGATGCATACAATGATCCATTATGTGCCTTGTTTCACAAAAGGGCCCTATTCAAACTTGGATTTGGCCCAACTCCAATTCTTGTTTTATTTTCAAACTTCAACGCTAATTTCGATTTTAATATTTTTCTTCGTAATTATTAAATCAATTATGATGTAGTATCTGTTTAAAAAAATCATTTAAATTACATAGTAAATGTAAATATAGTGTTTATCACCAAAAAAAAGACATGTTTTTATCTCAAAATAGAATTTTACATTCTCATAATGTGGCACCGTATATTAACATTTCATAGTGTTTTTTTATATGATATAGTAACACTATTCACATTGTAATTCATATTGTAGGTATAAAAATATGAGTGTCTTATTTTAGTTTTTTTCTCTATATTTTACTCATATTTTGGTCTTTTTCCCATATGCTATACGTTCTTTCTAAAACTATTGAATAACTGAAAGTCATCATTTTCGCTCGGGTTCGAATTTGAGTGAACTTCTCCGAAATCCATAGAAT